CCAATCTCCTCTCATTTCTGAGAGGCCCAAACTGGCCTGGCTTCACTGGTTACCCCCAGTTACCCCTGGTTACCTCTGGTTACCCCTGGTTACCCCAGGTTGCCTGCATCAAATTCAAGTCCCTGATGCCTACAAAGTGTTTTGGGGTCCGATTCCCGTCTATTTGAACCCTCTTCCAAAGGCTCATGGTCATTGTCGTCCAGCAGAGCTGCTCCACGTTAAGACGATTAGACTGTTTTCAGGTGCGTTTATGGTCTAGTTTTGTCCATTTTGTGGTCAGTTTGTGCATATCTGGTCTAAGTTTGTGCATTTTGTGGTCGGTTTGTGGATTTTTGGTATAATTTAGTCCATTTTCTGGTAAATTAGTTTGTTTCTGGTCTAATTTAGTCCTTTTTGTGTCCTTTTTAAACGTTTTCACAGTATCAAACATTTATAAACACAAACATAAACATATATGGGAAGCATGCCAATATTCACAAGACAAGGTTTTAAGTACAGTAACTTATCGCTCATACAGAATCTGACCGTAAAGGTTTTATGTACTCAGTCCATTTAGTCCAGATTTTGTAAAACATGTCCTTTTGCATCCTGAGGGAAAAAGACAACTTTTCCATGACATATATTTCGTGTATTATATTGATCCAATCCTCAATAGTTGGAGATTGCACTCTCAGCTACTTTATTGTGATGGCTTTTTTACTTGCAGTAAGTAACCTACCAAGTAATCTTTTATCAGTGTTATTCTAGCAGTGTCCCTTTCTATCTTTAGGAAACTCTTAAAGACCCCCCTCTCCACAGATCATCTCCTATCCTAACTCCTCCCCAGACCTCTGGACCCTCTACTCCTCTTTCTGAGCTTCCGTCTATCTCCTCCTGTCTCCTCTGACTCTGACTGGGGGTTTTCCTCTAGAGAACTTATTGTCATATTGATGATAACTTTAAGATTGGGTCTACTTTGTAAGTCGCTTTGGATAAAAGCTTCAGCTAAATGCAGAAACATAAACATAAACCCAGAGTGGGGCAGAGTTTTTCTCATTTCTCCAGACTGGATGCATGCTGACTCGGACCTGGCTGACAAATAAAATCATCTTTTGTTCGACCCAGTTCTGCCTCAGCAGAGTTTTTCCTTCATTACGTGAAGACGACCGTCCCATAATCCCCCTCTCACCTCTCTGCCGAGCTGTCCGGCTCTATGAACCGGATGAGCGGCGGGGCGGAGAGCGTCTCCGTGGCGAATATCCCCCCCTGCAGCTGCACGCCGAAGCCGTTGAGCGGGTCGCCCAGCAG